GCCTGCGCTTATGGCTTGAAATATCTGATGTGATGACTAACCTAGAGCCGAATATGTGTTCTTTTTTCAGATTAAGAAGATGGCTCTTCATGCCCTGAACGAAGCTGTAAATTTCTTGGATCCTTGTTCCTCAGAAGGGTAAGTGAAAGTAACCATAATCAGTCATTGGCAGCTGTACATTTTGGTGACTCATTATGTTCTGTCAGGTTGAAGATTGGGGTTGGTGAGAACATCTGTGTAGATGAATCTGTAGATGAGAAGCCGCCGCCTAAAAGGCAGGGCAGTCGCCGAAGAGGTGAAGTGCCAAGTAAGTCCAACAGCAAAGCCACAGATGAGAAGCCTAAAAGGCGTGGCATCAAGGACAGCAAGTCCAAAAGTGAAGCTGCTGATGAGAAGCCTAAAAGGCGAGGTCGCCCAGTAGGTTCTTGAAATTGTGGCGATTGATTTGTCAAGTTTGGGCTGGGGATCATGCATTTTGGAAGGAGCTGAGCTTGTAGGCTGGATCGATGGTCAGGCATTAAGGTGTCTGAGCTTTTGTTCATGTATGGTGATCGCCGGCCGACACTGATGGATGGTTGATTAGCTGGTCCGTGGAAGTAGACTGCCATCGACCCAGTCATGTAGCATGCGGGTAGGCCGGCACTAGAGAGAACTAGGGTGAGAAACAGCAAGTGCATATGTATGCTGCTGATATTTCGGCGACTTGAATAGCTGGGGAAGAGCCTCCCTTGTTAGATACTGAGCCAACAGCCAATGCAATGGTGGTGCTGTTTCGTTATTGTAGTCAATTTTAGGAATGAATTTGACCAAGCATTTGTCTAGATTTATATATAAAATTACATTAATCTAAAATTGCATTCTTTTTCAGACTGAGGGAGTATGTGCAGTTATTATATTTTTCATGGATCGAGGGTCCGCATGAATTTCACAGAAAGTAGTCCTGCTCCTGCATGAATTTCGCAGGAAGTAGTCCACGTTAAAAAAACATAGGAATCAGGGAAAAAAAAGAATCCCACATTCTAAAGGCCTGAAGCCCAGTTAGCTGCGTCACTGTGGTTGCAGAGGCAGCATATCAATCTCAGATTGTGGACTACCATTGCATCTATACGGGATACTGGACAGATGACAACGGAGCAAAACTGAAGGTTGCCAAACCATGCTACCAATTGCCTAGATTGATTGATGACTCCTGGGCATACATGGTTGATGATGATTCATTCCAAGGCACTCAGTCCAAAACGAAAGCATCAGTATGGTAAGATGGCTACGTCCTCAGCCAGGTAATGGACACATCGGTGTATGTGCATCTGCTTTCATGTAACAATATACTGCAATGTTTTGCCCACTTGTTTTCAGCTCGAGGTGACAAAAGGGGAAAAAAAAAGGGTGCATGCGCTAGCTCATCTTTTGGCATACGTAACGTATATAAACGACACAAGAATGTGATTGTTGTACATCAATGTATTTTTCATGTCTCTTGTGATCTTGTCTTACACCATTAACTACGTACACGAGGTGGAGAGCACCACCATAATTGATATGCTTGGAAAACAGCCTGCTTCACAAGCCAAGGTTTGATTATTGTAAAAAAAAAAAGCCAATTAGCAAGGATGAAAGGATATGCTATGATATGTGTTAAGGAGCTTACAAAGTCCACTTCTGCACCACGCCGCATTAGCTAGCCGCCTAGCCCAGAGTCAAGGGCTTGGTAGTCTTCCTACATCTCATCACAGAATTGCTTAGGTTACACTGGGCCCATCATAGAAACACACCATTCTTCCTCAAATGATTATCACGATAAAAGACGCCCAAATAGAATCCCACTAAATACCAAAGCTCCAAACCACTTGTTGGACACAAACCTGCGGGGCATCAATTCATCGAATTAAGGTGGACACATAATGTGGATATCAACAACCACATTATGTAGGCATCAAAATGGCAATAGGTAGTGGATATTCCAAGCAAGAAGAACATACTTCATGTTGCAATCTGAGCGGCTAGACAGATCCACAGTTGAAACCTGCCACGCTAACTGTGCAGCTGCAGCTACTAGAAATGGATAGTAGGGCCATCCTGTTCGAAATGATTTCAGGTCTAGAGTCAATATCAAGTAAAAAGAATACTACTTCACTCAAGTATCGCACTAAACACCAACCAAGGTCAGCATTGTAACCACTGAGTGCTAAGCTGCCAATGCATGCCGCACCAAAGCCACTGATCCAGTATTTGGTCAAATCTCCAAATCTTAATGCTGTGGACTTAACTCCTACTTTGAGGTCATCTTCTTTGTCCTGAGATGCATGTAGATACACATGGATAAGACACTGCGACAACATGAAATGGTCACTTCATCAAGGATGAGTATGAACGAGTGGGAATAGGGAAACACCTGATGCGCATATATAGTATCATACACCAGTGTCCAGCATATACCAGCGGTATACAATGGAAGGATGATTGCAGGCTCTAAGCTTTCCTTAATAGCAGCCCATCCTAATAAAGCTCCCCAGTTGAATGTCAGGCCAAGATAAGCCTGAGGCTGTTATTAATGCACCAAAAGAAATACAAGCCCTCACTCTATAAGTAGTAATATAGTATTATTCTATATAAGCCTCCATATGCACAAATACAGCACATACCCAAAATGTGAACCTCTTCATCAGGGGATACGAGAAGACCAGAAAAAGTGAAGACGCCCCCAGAATACGACTACACACAAAAAAAATGACAAAAAGATAATGTATAAACTGCTTATAGTCAAGATACCTTTGTTTTGACTTTCAGGTAATGCAAAGATAAGAAAATATTAACAGGCACATAGTATGCTTCTATATATTCTTAGGGAGAACTGTGTGGCGGCCCAATTTATTTCCTGGTTATCAATCAAGAAAATGCAACTGGACCCTAGGTAGCACCATAACCTTAGGATGCAAACCCAAAACACGTTGGTTAATGGCTTAATGCTGCAGTTAAAGGACCATCCCGGTCATAGCCACAAGCATACTTCCTCCAATCGCAAATAAGTCCATCTTGTCCTAAGTCAAACTTCTTTAACTTTGTCTATTACCTAAAGTTTTATACAGACTGAAAATACAAGACTGGCATGACTAGATTGATGATGAAAAATATTTTCCTTATATATCACTTAATATATTTTTATAGATGTTGCTAGTCAAAAGGGTAAGTTTTATAGGACGACGATTAGACCTGCTATGTTGTATGGTGCAGAATGTTGGCCTACGAAAAGACGACATGTTCAACAGATAAGTGTCGCGGAAATGCATATGTTGCGTTGGATTTGCGGTCATACAAGAAGAGATCGAGTTCGAAACGATGATATACGTGATAGATTAGGGGTAGCACCAATTGAAGAAAAGCTTGTCCAACACCGGTTGAGATGGTTTGGACATGTCCAACGGAGACCTCCAGAGGCACCGGTGCGTAGTGGAATCCTAAGCCAGGATAGTAACGTGAAGAGAGGCAGAGGAAGACCAAAGTTGACTTGGGTAGAGGCAATAAAAGGAGACTAGAAATGATGGAATATACCCAAAGACTTAGCCTTAGATAGGAGTGCTTGGAAAACAGATATTCACGTGCCTGAACCTTGATGGCTTCTGCTGGGTTTCAACTCTAGCCTACCCCAACTTGTTTGGGACTTAAAGGCTTTGTTGTCGTTGTTGTTGTTGCTAGTCAAAATGTCATACTGAAGACCATACTGATGTCCAGGAAGCAGTGAGTTTATCACATAAACAAGATAGAAAGAATATGAGAAGTAAAATGAGTACAGTTCCCATCAAATCAAATTGCAGGACATGAATATCCTAATTATCCTCAAGAAAAAGAGTTGGAATAAAGAGCCCCTAAATAATTTGATCATAATGTTCTGCTGTTGACACTCACTGATAAGTGGTTGTGGGAACATGGATAGTCTAAATGCATATAATAGTGGCAGCCACATCAGACAAAGAAGCATCTGAGTTTAAATACCTATAGCTGTTCAATTGGAGAAGAATGCCCAGTCCCAATAGGAGCTGAATTCCAAGGAAGCCCACTCCCTGTAAAGGAGTAAGCACTCCTGAGGCAAAAGGCCTACTTTTGGTGCGCTCAACCTATGGAGAAATATGTCACCAGATAAAGGCCATGCAACATCCAGAACAGTTTGTTCATTGGTTGATTATTTGTTGTGCTTAATTCAGGTTAGGTGCAAGGCATCATCAGCACACAGAACATCAAAAGAAAACAAAATCACCTTATTATCAATGTCGTGATCGAGAAGATCATTCACTGTGCAACCAGCCCCCCTGAGGAGGACAGCTCCACATCCGAAGAGTGCCAGCATTTTCAAGTCTGGCAACTCCCCTGGCATTGCTGCTATTGTGATCGACCTGTGAAGCAAAGGTCTGATTGATTCTTCAACACAGACGGTAAAACATCCTATCAATTTAATAGTGTAAAAGAATTCAATTTCAACACATGCATAACAGATAAAATAATGTCCCTCCTCCTTAGAAGCTCTAACAGGGCCTGTTCGCTTGAACTTATCGGCTAGAATCTATAGTATTTTTCTCTCACCACAAAACAGCTTCGGCTGGCTTTAATACCAGCCGAACAAGGAAATACCATTTAGTTGAATCTGTAGCTAACAAGGAAATATGCTGCGTTTGCTATGAGGACTCAAATTTAGTATGTGTGGTGATAGTATAAAACTGGGGAGCAAAACATTGAGCTGTTCTTGTATCCAGTACCAATGTGCATGTCTTCTATTCTTCCTAAACTTTTTGGACTGTACATCGACAAGCAAAACCTCGCCCTTTTTTTTCCTTTCATCTTTCATAAGGCAAAAGTAAAGCATTTAACAGTACATATGAGTCGAACCACTAATCGCCACCTCGTTTTTCTGTTAGTGTTGGGACGCATGGACTAACTGAATCAGACATGCAAAGGCATGACAATGCAGAGCATTGAGAAGCAGGAGAACACAAGAAGGAAAGGCATACCACATGCAGGGCCAGGCGAGGAGCCAGGTCCCGATGGGCTTGTCGAGGCGGGCGAGCATGGCGTACGGCCGCGCCGCCTCCGGTACCCACTTGTCCACCCACGTGAGCGGCGGCGTCGGCGAGGCCTTGCCCGCGGGTTCGGAAGAGGACGAGGAGGTGGAGAGCCGCGAGGCGTGCGAGAAGTGGCTTGGGAGGAGAACCCTTCCGTGGAGCACCTCGGGGGCGAGGACGGCGGACGCCGGGTGCGGCGGGCACCGGCGGAGCGCGATGAGGTGGCGCCGGTCGGCGTGCGGGCTAGGATCGGGGCGGCTGGAGGCTGGGCTCTGTGGAGACGGCGAGGAGAGGAGCGACGACAGCGCCGGTAGGGGGAGAGGGGCACGGCGCCCCCGGCGGCGGAGCTCGGATGCGGCGGCGCGGAGCAGCGCGTGCGGCGCCATGGGTGGCTGTCAGTTCAGTTGTGGGATGGACGAACTTCCAACCAAGGCCAGTTGGGGTGAATGTTCTGGTGGCAGGCTGCTCCTGGATGGGGCGGGCGGCGGAGACGGCTTGTCGGAGGGGCGCGAATGGAACCGCGGCGGGCGTCGTGAGATGGGCGTGAGGGCGGCGGGCGGCGGCGGCGACTGCGACGACAGGGCTATGGGCTATGGCCTACGGAGTATGGCCTATGGGAGGGAGAGGCAAGGGAGGGCCCGGCCCAAATGGTTATGGGCCTGCCTATGGGCTATGGGCTATGGCCTATGGCCTATGGGAGGGAGAGGCAGGGGGGCCCGGCCCAAATGGCTTCTAACATTGGAATGTCATTCCCGATCAACAATACGTCATCCACGTAAAGGACCAGATATACAATTGCGCTCCCACTAGCCTTTTTGATTTGCTAAAAAAAACTAGCCTTTTTGTACTTCTTCATTCTTGATGATGCCAAACCCTTTGACGACTTCACCAAAACGAATATTCCAACTATAAGATGATTGCTTTAACCCATAAATGGACTTTTAAAGATTGCATATTTTGTATGCCAAGCGGCTTTTTGCATATTTTTTTTGTCACGAGTTTGACCGCTCATCTTATTATTCAACAAATTGTTCTAACATAAAAAACATAAGTCGTGCTTAAATAAAATATCTTATCTTAGTGCTCAAATAAAATATCTTATCTTAGATGATGAAATGAGCCATACACATAAGATATACGAAACAATAATTTTTTTGGCTTCATCAACCTAGGCGTGCCATTCATCTTCGTGGTTAAAAAAAGGAAAAAGTCTATTTTTGCCCTCCAACTATGACTGCAGTTTGTTTCTAGCTCTCCAACTCTAAAACCAGACACCCGCAGTCCCTTAACTCTCAAAACCGTTTAAAATTGGCCCTCGCGTCCATTCCACCGTGGTTTCGGCCTAGTCAAGCCCGCCACGACCACGGTTTCGGCCAGTCCTCGTCCCTTCGCGACTGCTGCGCGGTCAACGAGCGAGAGCAGAGAGGAAGGAGAGAGCGCACGTGCAGGGCGGAGCGGAGGGGGCAGAGAGAGAGAGCCCCACGCCTCCCTCGCTCTTCTTCCTCTCTCTCTCAAAGACAGAGAACATGTGTGGGCGTGCATGAACCGAACGCACGCAGGCGGGGCGGCAACTGGCGAAGCGCGGTTCTTCTCCGACGCTGCCGTCTCCGTGCAAGGGCGGTGCGGATCTAGCGCAGGGCCTGGCCGGGCGTCATCCCGCTCAGCGACGTCGGCCGCCGCCTCATCCGCGAGGCCTCGGGAAACCCCAAGATGGCGCGCTTCAAGTTCCATAAGGGCACATCCCGTGCGCTCACCTCTCGACTAGCGACGACGAGCTCCCCGCACAGCAGCTCCTCATCCGCGGCTGCGGGCTCCTATTGCGCCAACGCCGACGCCGCATGTAGTGCTAAGTTCGAGCTGCCGCCGCCGCCCAGAACCAGTCCCCGGCGCTGCTCATCGCCGACGAGCACATCTTTTTTCCTCAGCAGCCTCGCCAGCTCGCCGCGTGCCCGCGTGGCTGCCCGTGCTCGCCGGTTAGGCTATGGCCGTGGCTTCGCGCTTGTGCTAGCCGCGTGCTGGCTGGATCTGGGCAGCCAGAGCTCGGGCACCTCGCGGGCCCAGGAGGGGGGGCCGTCATCCATCACCGTCCAGCGCACCGACGAAGACGACCGGTGAAGCAGAGGAGGCTGGGGTCCATGGCGTCGTGCACGCGTCCGCGCGCATGCCAGTGATGGCAGAGGGGCCTGGGGCTCTACGTGGCCGCCCAACTGCTCGGCTCCGCGCTCGTCCTTCCCTCTCTACTCTCGCTCGCGGCAGCGTGCGAGGAAGGAGGCCGGGGCGTGCTCACGGTGGCGGGCAACGCAGCAACGGTGTCTCGTCGGAGCTTGGGAGCGCGGCCGTCTAGTTGCAGCTACGGCGTGTGGGGCTCAACGTGGGGGCACGGCAGGCCATGGCTGCCTCTCTGGGTCGCGCCTTGGTCGGCCATGGTGGCCTCTCCGGGCGCGGCCTCTTCTGCTCGTCCAGCCCCAACACGCAACGAGGCGGCGCAAGATGCGAGCGTGGCCAACCCGGCGTGGCACCAGGCGGTCCCTCCCACGGGCAGCACCTCCAGCGATGGCGAGTAGCCCGGCGCCATCTCGCATCGGATCTACGCGCAGGAGAGTAGCGAGTGCGGATGGTTGTGGCGAGTTCGTCCGGAGATGAGGCCGTATCGGGGGCCTCGCCGGGAAGGGTGGACGGCAAGTGCGGCCACGTGTCCAAATCAGCCCTGCGCGCGCTCTCTCTCTCCTTCCCTCTCTGCTCTCGCTCGTTGACCGCACGACAGTCGTGAAGGGACGAGGACTGGGCCAAAACCGCGGTCGCGGCGGGTTGACTGGGCCAAAACCACGGTGGAATTGACGCGAGGGCCAATTTTAAACGGTTTTGAGAGTTAAGGGACTGCGGTTGTCTAGTTTTGGAGTTGGAGGGCTAGAAACAAACTACAGCCAGAGTTGAAGGGCCAAAAATGGACTTTTTCCTAAAAAAAAGACAAGCGATCAAACTTGTGAGCAAAAATCAACGACGACAAATATAATCTCTCCATCCCAAATTATAAGTCAATTGCAACTTTTTTGGAGAGTCAAAGCTTCTCAAGTTTGACGAAAATAATAGAGAAAATTATAAATATTTATGAAATCAAATAGATATACTATGAAAATATAATTAATAAATAATGAAAAATCTAATGATACTTATTTAGTCATAAATGCTATTATATATTATATAAATTTAGTCAAATTTGAATGTTTTCACTGCCCAACAAAGTTGGAATGATTATTTAGATACGGAGGCACTACCGGAAACATCAAATTTGCCGAGTGTTTTTAGGTTGGCCGAGTGTTTTCCCTCAGGCACTCGGCGAACAAGTTCTTTGCCGAGTGTTGCGCTAAAAACACTCGGCAAAAAAAACACTCAGCAAAGAAGAGGTTTGGCTCGGCAAAGAGGGGGTTTGCCGAGTGTTTTTTTTTACACTCGGCAAAAAAATAAAATCTTTCTTCTGTGCAAGAAGAAGAAGAAAAAAATGAAAAAAAAACTTTATCGAGTGTCCAGATCTAGGACACTTGGCAAAGGTAAAAAATATTTTTTCTGAGAAAGTAAGAGAAGAAGAAAACTGAAAAAACAAACTTTGCCGAGTGCCCAGATCTAGGACACTCGGCAAACAAAAAAAACTTAATTAACGCCACGCCCTCGTCCTCTCTCCTCCTCCCTCCCAGAACTGCTCACGCCCTCTCTCTCCTCCTCCCTCCCCAGAACCGTCCGCGCCCTCTCTCTCCTCCTCCCTCCCTAGAACCGCCGCCCCTCTCTCTCCCCCCCTCCCCGGTGGATCTCCAGGCCCTTGCCGCGCCCTCTCTCCTCCTCCTCCCTAGATCCACCCGCCGCCTCTCTCCTCCTCCTCCTCTCTAGATCCTTGCCTCTCTCTCTCCTCCTCCCTCCTGGCGGATCTCCGACGCCGCCGCGCCCCGCCCTCTCTCCTCCTCCCTCCCGGCATCCGCCCGCGCCCTCTCTCTCCTCCTCCCTCCCCACATTCGCCCGCCCCCTCTCTCTCCTCCTCCCTCCTGGCGAATCTCCGGCGCCGCCACGCCCGCGCCCTCTCCTCTCTCTCTCTCTCTCTCTCTCTCTCTCTCTCTCGGGATGGGGCCTTGGCGAGCCAGGCAGAGAAGTGTCTGCTCGTGGCGCGTCTCCCGGTGGTGGAGGTCTGCTCCGGCGGCGCTCCGACGGTGGATCTGGCGCGCCCCAGCGAGAAGTAGCCCGGATCCGACGTGGAGCAGCCCGGATCCGGCAGGCGCGAGCGAGGTGGCGGCGCTCCTGAAAGTGCATTTGCCCCCTATGTGGGTTTTGGTGTATTGATGACATCCAAATTAGGGACTAATGTGATCTTAATGAGATATGTTGCAGCTATTAGTCCCATGAAAGATTCAAAGAGTTGATAAAGATGAAATGGTATCCCTCAATTCTTGAAGTTGTAAAGGCGGTCGAACTCAAAACTATCTCTAAAGGTTTTATTTTTTGTTTTTGAGTTTAGGATCCGCCGCACTATAAAGAGGGATGCAAGTTTAGTTGGTCTGACGAAGATAGAGTGCTCAAGCATTTAAATAAAATCAAAAGAGAGTCACTCTAACACTTCACGCGCACTTAGAATATTTTTCTGTGACTTTCGGTGTCGGAAGTCCCGACCTAAGCCAGGAGTCCCGGCACCTATGCTTCTGACTGCTCGTTGTCTGTGCTCGTCGGAAGTCCCGACGAGTGTCGGGAGTTCCGACCGTCGGAAGTCCCGACGTTCGCCGGGAGTTCCGACACTGACCTGACCCTAGCCGGGAGTCCCGGCATCAGCGGTGCTGGCTGTTTGTTTAACTGAGCTCGTCGGAAGTCCCGACGATCGTCGGGAGTTCCGACCGTTGGAAGTCCCAACGTTTGCCGGGAGTTCCGACACTGACTTTCTCCCGTGGTCTTTCTGACTCGTTGTGAACAGTGTTTTCTGTTGTAGTCGGAAGTCCTAGGATCTACGTCGGGACTTCCGACGTAGATCTAAACGGTTGGATTTTCACTTGGAGTATAAATACTCCTCTCTTCACTTCTAACCGTGACGGACTCATTTTCACAGTTGACTCACTTCGTGCTGAACAGCTCCCAAGCAACAAAACACCCCTCTCCTTCCTCCCTTGCTCTAATCTTCGATTCCCTTAGGTTTTGAGTGAAAGGAGAGTGGATTAAGTGAGAGCATCACTTTGAAAAGCTTGAGCACTTGATTTCTTCGTCAAGCCGGTTGATTTTGCGTCTATTACTCTTAGGGCTTTGCCCCTAGCCGGCTAGGCGTTGCCCTAGAGCTTCCATCTTATGGAAGAGCCTTGGGAAGTTTGTATCACCCTTTGATTTCTTAGTGGAAAGCTCAAGTGACCTTTGTGGTCGC